CAAAAAAAAAAAAAAAAAAAGGAAAAAATAAATTATAATTAAAACATTCAAAGGTAGCAATTAATAATTTGGTATTTACATTTCTCCCCCTATATTAAAAACAATACTTTATACACACATACACACACACACACGACATACACATATAAAACATAATGTCACACTGAGTTTCCGGACAAAATTAAGCTGACATATTCTTGAAAGGTCAAAAGATTGCTGGGCTCAGTGGCTCAGCCTGTAATCCCGCGCCTAGGGAGGCTGAGGTGAGTGGATTGCCTGAGCCCACAGGTTTGAGACCTGGCTGGGCAACTTGGTGAGACCTCATCTACAATAAATCAAACTGGCTGATTTATACAATGGGTGTGGTAGCGCGCGCCTGTAGTTCCAGCTATTTGGAAGGCTGTGGTGGAAGGATCTCCGGAGCCCAGCAGGTCTAGGCTGCAGTGACCAGGAGCATGGCACTGCACTCCAGTTTGGGTGACAGAGTGAGACTCCAACTCAAAAAAAAAAAAAGAAAAGTCAAAAGGTTTATCAGTCCTTACAGTGCTATTAGGATTTAGCTGCAGAAATTAAACAGAAAACCAAGTATCACTCATCTGATCAGAACTACTACTTTTTTTGTTTGAGTTAGAGTCTCACTGTGTTTCCCAGGCTGGAGTGCAGTGGCATGGCTCATAGCTCACCACAGCCTTGACCTTCTGCCTCAGCCTCCTGAGTAGCTGGGACTATATGCATGTGCCACCACACCCAGTTAATTTTTAATTTTTTGTAGAACAAGTAAGTCTCACTATGTTGCCCAGACTGGTCTCAAACTCTTAGGCTCAAGCGATCCTCCTGCCTCAGCCTCCCGAAGATCTGTGATTATAGGTATAAACGACTGTGCCTGGCCTGCTCAGACTACTTTCTAAAAGATAGTAACATATCTAATTCACAATACTCACAGAACATGTGAGATAAAATGCCATTAACTAACACAGTCCCAGGCTGATATGGTAAATAAACTCCATAATATGAGGTACCATGGCTCCCTGGATATTGTCACTCCACCATCTCTAAAGTTTTACTCTCACTTGCATGGTTTAATACATATTTTGTAACAAACACACTTTTGCCAGGTGTGGTGGCTCATGTCTATAATCCCAGACTTTGGGAGGTGGAGGGACAGGACTGTCTGAGCCCAGGGGTTTGAGACCAGCCTGGACAACTTGGCGAGACCTCATCTCTACAATAAATCAAAACAATTAGCCAGGTATGGTGGTGCATGTCTCTAGTTCCAGCTATTTGGAAGGCTGGGACAGAAGGATAGCCTGAGCACAGAAGCTCGAGGCTGTGGGGGCTATGAGGGTACTACTGCACTACAGTTTGGGCGATCGAGACTCTAACTCAAAGAACAAAACACACACACAGACACATATACACTTTTAAAGAAACGCTGAGACATGACACAAATAGTTTTATAACATGCTGTGCGTACTTATAGAAGTGATACATTTTACTTTTTTTTTTTTTGAGTTGGAGTCTCACTCTGTTGCCCAGACTGGAGTGCAGTGGCCGCTCCCCGCCACCGCAGCCTCTATCTGCTGGGCTCCAGCGATCCTTCCGCCTCAGCCTTCTGATTAGCCGGCATTACAGGCACACGCTACCATGCCTGGCTGATTTTTTTTTATTTATTGTAGAGATGAGGTCTCGCCAAGTTGCCTAGGCGGGTCTTGAACCCACAGGCTTAGGCAATCCACTCACCTCAGGCTCCCAAAGCATGGGATTACAGGCTGAGCCATCGAGCCTGGCTTTTTTTCTTTTTAAAATTTTTATTTTGTCTGAGTCAGTCTCACTCTGTTGCCTAGGCTGGAGTGCAGTGGCACGCTCATGGCCATCGCAGCCTGGACCTGCAGGGCTCAGATGATCCTTCCACCTCAGTCTTCCAAGTAGCTGGAACTACAGTTGTGTGCCACCATACTCAGCTGATTTTTTGATTTATTGTAGAGACAAGATCTTGCCATGATGCTCAGGGCTGGTCTCAAACTCCTGAGTTCAGGCAGGTCTCGAACCCCTGAGCTCAGGCAGTCCTCTTGCCTCAGCCTATCAAAGTGCTGGGATTACAGGTGTGAGTCACTGCACCCTGCTGAAGAGACACATTTTAAAGGGCTCTACAAAGACAATGCTTCAGATTGAAAAAACAAAAACAAACCCAAAAATCAACAGCTAATGCCACCATAACACTGATAATAATTCTGTGCCATTCATCACAATCAGCTCAGTCTCCACTTCCTTCCCCAATCACTTACCTGGTCAGTTTAATAGTGCTATCTAGGGAAGCAGAGAGCAATAAGCCTTTGGACCATCTGCTGAAAGCCAATCCGCGGATCTGTTTGCCATGCATTGGGATATACTGACTGCTTTTCATGTTGGCAGTACTCAACATCTTAACACCAAAGCCTGTCAAAAATAAGAATATGAAACAGATCACTGAAAACCAATTTAGGGCAAACTACCTTTTCAAGTAGCTCCTCTGTCCACCTCTATTTGCATGTAAGTCCTTGGGGGAACAGGTGGCCAAACAAAGAAAATAAAAATTCCCCAGAGTTTATTTAAAATATTATAATCCGGGCAACCCCTTTGGGTACACTCCCACTGTGGGAGCTTTTCTGTATTCTTAATAAATCCTGCTTTCTCAAAATAAAAATAAATAAAGGTCGGGCTTGGTGGCTCAGCCTGTAATCTCGCACTTTGGGAGGCTGAGGTGAGAGGACTGCCTGAGCCCGCGGGTTCGAGACCTGTCTGGGCAACTTGGTGAGACCTCATCTCTACAATAAATCAAAAAATTAGACAGGCGTGGTAGCATGTGCCTGTAGTTCCAGTTATTTGGAAGGCTGAGGTGGAAGGATCGCCGGAACCCAGCAGGTCGAGGCTGCGGTGGCTGGGAGTATGCCACTGTACTCCAGTCTGGGTGACAGAGTGAGACTCCAACTCGGAAAAAAAGAAAAAGATAAATAAATAAATAAATAAAAATAAAATATTACAATCCATTCCAAATGTCCATCAACAGGAAAATAGATAAATAAATCCATTGTATATACTACCTTAAATAATTCTAAGAGAAGGAAGTCAGGCAAGTAAGAGTAATATTGTATGATTCTATTTATATAAAATTCTAGAAAATGCAAACAAACCTATGGTGACAAAAAGCAGTGGTTACCTTGGGGTAGGAAAAGGAGGGAGAGACAGGTAGAAAGAACTGTGACAGTCCATAAGAAAGCCTTCGGAGCTGGGCGTTGTGGCTCATGCTTGTTCTCCCAGCACCTTGGGAGGCAAAGGCGAGAAGACTGCCTGAGTTCAGGGGTTCTAGACCAGCCTGCACAACATAGTGAGACTTTGTCTCTACAATAAATAAAAAAAAAAAACAGCTGGGTGTAGTGACACACGCCAGTGGTTCTAGCTACTTGGAAAACTGAGGCAGAAGGGATCACCTGAGCCCAGCAGGTCAAGGCTGCAGTGGCTGTGATTATGCCACTGCACTCCAACGTGGACAGCAGAGTGAAACTCCTACTCAAAAAAAAAAAAAAAAAAAAAAAAGGGACTATTCTCCTGCACATCTAGCTCTGCTTCATAGTCCTTGTTTCCCTTGATTAACTAGGCATGTATTTATGGTCCCTTGCTGATTTGAAGTATATAGTTTCTCTTTTTGACTCTCTGGCTTGCCTAATTCTTCAGAAGAAAATGTAATAAACTTTCTCCTACTTCATTCCTTGGAGAAGCTGAAGGCTATCTACCTTGATTCTAGGATTTTACAAATTCTTTTTATATATTTAAACTCAATAATAGATACTTGATAAAAATAAACCTATTATCATGTGCTAATAAGAGAATAGAGTAGCAGATAATTTTAAAAGGACAAGTTTGTTTTTCCACTCTAGCAATGTCATGCATTGATTGGGTACTTGAAATGTCATCTATCTCATTTCGTTTTAGAAAGATGTGACATAGCTTATCCAGCTGACATAAAAATTGCTATCTTCTTTATTTTTTGTTCACTGTCCCTTTTGCATGTAGAGTGTCTGTGATTCAGGTGGAAAAATCTTTTTTCTAACTTTTAATTCTTCTTTATTTTATTTTAAGATGTGGAATGCAATTCAAGGTTAGGTATACATATGGTCATTATGCAGGTACCCTTGTTGATGAGGAGTGCCTCCCCCCACCTTGGCAGTTTCCCACTAATGCAAATCCCTTTCTTATGGTATTATGATAATTGTTCAAGGTCCACTTAGGAGTGAGACTCAGTTTTTTATTTCTGTGATAGATCACTCAGTATTATAGACTCTAAGTCCATCCAAGTTGCTGCAAAAGGTCATAATTTTGTCTTTCTTTATGGCTGCGTAATATTTCATCATGTATATGTACCACATTTTAAAAAATCTTTTGATGGGCAACACGGCAGGTGTAATATTCTTATTCTCTCTGTGTGTGTGTGTGTGTGTGTGTGTGTGCGTATACACATATTATAACTTTACTGAAGTATAACTGACACACAGTAAACTACCTATTTAATATACACAATTTGATGAACCCTGGAACCATCACTACAATTGAGTCTCTCCGTTGCCCATGCTGAAGTGCACTGGTATGCTTACACCCTGCTAATTTTTTGATTTATTTTGAGACAAGATCTCGCCAAGTTGCCCAGGATGGTCTCGAGCCCGTGGGCTCAGGCAATCTTCTCGTTTCTGTCTCCCAAAGTGCTGGGATTACAGGTGTTAGCCACCATGTCCGGCTGGGAATAGACACTTTTTAAAAAAAGGGAACCAGATGGGGTGGCTAACGTCTGCAATCCCAGCACGTTGGGAGGTGGAGGTGAGAGGATTGCCTGAGCCAAGAGGTTCAAGACCAGCTTGAACAACTTGGCAAGACCTCCTCTCTACAAGAAATCAAAAAATTAGCAGGGCATGGTGGCATGAGTCTGTGGTTCCAGCTACTTGGAAGGCTGAGGTGGAAGGATTACCTGAGCCCAGCAGGTCGAGGCTGTGGTAGCCATAAGCATGCTACTGCACTCCAGTCTGGGAGACAGAATGAGACTCCAACTCCAAAAAACAAAACCAATCAACCAACCAAACAAGCAAAAACATGGGATATAGGAACATATAAACAATCCTTTCATTTTGACTCAATTGGAGGAAGCTCCTGACAGCATCTCAATTCATAGCTAGTATCAGTGAATACAGAAATACATGATAACCTAGAGATTCCACTTTTTTTTTTTTTTTTGAGGTGGAGTCTCACTCTGTTGTCCAGACTGGAGTGCAGTGGCCACTCCTGGCCACCGCAGCCTCGACCTGCTGGGCTCCAGCGATTCTTCCGCCTCAGCCTTCCAAGTAGCTGTAACTACAGGTACATGCTACCACGCCCGGCTAATTTTTGATTTATTGTAGAGATGAGGTCTCGCCAAGTTGCCCAGGCAGGTCTCGAATCCCCGGGCAGAGGCAATTCACTCACCTCAGCCTCCCAAAAGCACGGGATTACAGGCTGAGCCACTGAGCCCGGCTGAGATTCCACTTCTAACCCTCCATATATCCAAGTTTAGGGGACATAGTTTTGAAGCATTTGAATGGGAGTTCTAAATGGAGGAAAAAGAAACCAGGCTGAAGCAAAGGGATCACACAGTTGGCAGAAATTCTATGCTGAAGACAGTAAACAAAAGAAAAAAAACCCTTGCATTGCTGGGCACATTTGTTCATGCCTGTAATCCCAACAACTTTGGGAGGCAGAGGCGAGAGAACTGTCTGAGCCTAGGGATTCAAAACCAGTCTGGGCAACTTGGCAAGACAATCAAGCAATCAATCAAAAAAATAGCCTGGCATGGTAGCGCATGCCTGCAGTAGTTCCAGCTACTTAGAAGGCTGAGGTAGAAAGATAGCCTGAGCCCAGAAGGGTGAGGCTGTGATAGCCATGGTTATGCAACTGCACTGCAGTCTAGGCAATAGAGTGAGACTCCAACTAAAAAAAAAAATTATTTTTGCAAAATTTAAAAATGATTTAATTGAAGGCTAGGCACAGTGGCTCATGCGTAATCCCAGCACTTTGGAAGACCAAGGCAAGTAGACTGGTTGAGTCCAGGAGTTTGAGACCAGCCTGGGCAACATGGTGAGACTGCATCTCTTTAATTAAACAAACAAACCACGATTTATTTTTTGTTTGTTTATTTGTTTTGAGTTGGAGTCTCACTCTGTCGCCCAGACTGGAGTGCAGTGGCCGCTCCCGGCCACTGCAGCCTCGACCTGCTGGGCTCCGGCAATCCTTCTGCCTCAGCCTTCCAAGTAGCTAGAACTACAGGTGTGCGCTACCACGCCCGGCTAATTTTTGACTTATTGTAGAGATGAGGTCTCGCCAAGTTGCCCAGGTAGGTCTCGAACCTGCGGGCTCAGGCAATCCACTCACCTCAGCTTCCCAAAGCATGGGATTAGAGGCTGAGCCACCGAGCCCAGCCCCAAAACGCGATTTAATTGGGCATATGAAGAGATTTGGTTTCAACATTAAGACAACCTAAAATTAAAGTTAAAAAGTACAAAATGCTGAAATAAACAGTATTTTCTAATCTAAAAAAGTACAGAACGTCAACAGAAAATTAACATAGTATTAGTAAAAATAATCAATGTGTTCCCTAAATTCTCATATTTGGAATTTGTCAATTTGAGTACTACCAAAAAAAAAAAATTCTTAAAATATATCTAAACATTATATATTTATATATTATATATAATTAAAATATTAAAAATAAAATTAAAAATATTAAATTTCATTTCACCTTGAATTAGCTCTTAGGAAAATGCTGTGTTAAACATTTCCAGTCTAAAATAAATCTGTAAGTTGAATAGAACACATAGGGAGTGATGTTTTTCATCTTGTACTATACTGGTCACTTGCACTTTCAAGTACCTCATCATCTCCTGTTTTACCATAGTCATCAGTATTTCTACCCTCTTGAACAAATTTACAGAATGAAGTCAACAGACAGTAAAGACATCTTTGCGGCGCCTTGAAGTACAAGCATTAACAGGGAACTGATAGCAAAGGGTGATTTGGTGGGCTAGCTTCAGTGTTTACCTACTACTGAGTCCTGATTTCTTCAAAAAGGAGAGGAATGAGATAAATGAAGTTCAATAGTGAACACAAAAGCTGAGGTTCTGGACTGTTTACCTGGAAGGAAGGAGGCCTGAGGGGAAGGTTGTGACACCACCAGGCAGCTCAGAGCATCACAGTATGCCATGATTCGGCAGTTTCCTGTCTGAGATATTGTGAAGGTCTTCTGGAAGAGGTACTTGTGCTGGCCCTGGCTGGAAGGTGAACAGTTCAGGAAATGTGCTTGGGAGCCCCTGGATTGCTGCAAACTCTGACCGTGATGCTGCAAAAGTTTCTGTAAGTCCTAAAATGAAAAAAAATTTATAAATGTAAAACTTTTTCACTTGATATGCCCTTCTTACTTTTTATTTTTTGGTAGCGATAGGGTCTTGCTGTGTTGGCCAGGCTTGTCTTGAACTCCTGGCCTTAAGTAATCCTCCCACCTCAGCCTCCCAAAGTGCTGTGATTACAGGCATGAGCCAGTAGTCCCTTCAAACACAATTCTAATACAAGAAAATTTTCTATCCATTATGTTAACATGAAACCTAGAGAACTGCTGGGTTTTTACAGTATTTCACAAGCAACTCAAACAAGGAGAGCCCAGAGTTACAAAATTGGCTGAAAGTCTAATAGTCATTTTATCTAAAGCCTTCAAATTTTTTTTTTTTTGAGTTGGAGTGCCACTCTGTTGCCCAGGCTGGAGGGCAGTGGCATGCTCCTGGCCACTGCAGCCTTGACCTGTTGGGCTCAGGCTTCCAAGTAGCCAGAACTACAGGTGCATGCTACCATGCCCGGCTAATTTTTTATTTATTGTAGAGACAAGGTCTCAGCAAGTTGCCAGGGCTGGTCTCAAACCTGCGGTCTCATGCAATCCACTCGCCTCGGCCTCCCAAAATGCTGGGATTACAGGCCGAGCCACCGAGTTCAGTCTAATTTTTTGATTTATTGTGGAGATGAGGTTTCGCCAAGTTGCCCAGGCTAGTCTTGAACCCACAGGCTCAGGCAATCCTCTCATCTCAGTCTCCCAAAGGGCAGGGATTACAGGTGTGAGCTACCACGCCTGACTAAAACCCTCATTTTATTGGTGGATTCAAGGAGGTAAAATGACTTCAGCAAGTTCAGAATTCCAAGCTGGCAGATTAATTTTTTCTAAAATTCAGATTACAGATTTCATCACAAAATATGTGAGTTTTGGACAAATGCCCTAACTAGAAATAAAACAGTTATGCTAATTTCCTAAACAATTGCAAATCCTATTTGTATCCAAGAGAAGCCTAAGTAATATTTACATTTCTCTTCAGTAAAAGTAGGAGTTAGAAAGGACAAACTTACCTGAACACGACACTGAAGCTTAGTGCACTCAACAGTGATGACCTGAAGTTGAAGTCGGCACCGTGCTGATTCTAACTCAGCCTTCTTCCTTAGCATCTGCTCCTGTACTAAAGAACTGGAGGGGAAACCCAGCAACAAATGGGGATTAGGAAGGCTACAGAAGGTATCCCATCAAGACTATGTTTTCTTTTTTAGTTGGAGTCCAGCCCAGGCTGGAGTGCACTGGCATGTGCATGGCCACCGCAACCTTGACCTGCTGGGCTCAGATGATCCTTCTACTTCAGTCTTCCAAGTAGCTGGAACTACAGGCATGTACCACCACACCTGGCTAACTTTTTGGTTTATTGTAGAGAGGTCTCATCAAGTTGCCCATGCTGGTCTTGAACCCTGGACTCATGCAATCCTCACGCCTCTGCCTCCCAAAGTGACAGAATTACAGGTTTGAGACACCATGCCCAGCTTTTTTAATTTATTTTTTTTTGAGTTGGAGTCTCACTCTTGTCGCCCAGGCTGGAGTGTGGTGGCACGCTCACAGCCACCACAGCCTCAACTTGCTGGGCTCAGGTGATCCTTCCACCTCAGTCTTCGAAGTAGCTAGAACTATAGATGCCTTTATATATTTTTTAAAGTTGGAGTCTCACTCTGTTGCCCAGGCTGTAGTGCAATGGCATGCTCATGGGCACTGCAGCCTTTACTTGCTTGGCTCAGACAATACTTCCACCTCAGCCTTCTAAGTAGCTAGAACTATAGACATGTGCCACTATGCCCAGCTAACTTTTTGATTTATTGTAGAGACGAGGCCTTGCCAAGTTGTCCAGGCTGGTCTCAAACTTCTGGGCTCGGGAAATCTTGCCTCCACTTCCCAAAGTGCTAGGATTACAGGCGTGAGCCACCACGCCCGACATCCCATCAAGATTGCATAGTAAGTTCATGCCATGATAAACATACTTTGTAAATATGTCATGATAGTGAATAAAATACAAAAGGAGAAAAATCTGTCAAGTCCAGAAACATTATAGAAGAGTAGCATGCAAGGCTGAACTCTTGAGCCTACAAGCCTTTGGGCTAAGCAGGCAGCGATGATCAGGAATTTGGTTCCTACTAGGGGGCATGGGGAAAATGCCTAAGCAAAATGAGAAAACAGAGCCACCTCAGTGCTTCAGCTAAGAAAAATTATAAAAGAAACTGACATGTTACAAGACCAATTTGTTAGATTAAAATAAAGCAATAGCTGTTGGTTGTTCATGACATATTCAGATCTAGTATTATACACAAAGAAAGAGACTGAAGTTAAAAAGGTAGAAAGCAGGGCCATTGCCTTGCTAGACTCTGGTGTGGCCATGTGCTCTTTAAGCTATGGCTGTCCCCATGCTTCCTGGCTTTAACCCCTCCCCCACCTTGGGAGGTGAATTTTCACTCTCTCTTTTCTTTCTCTCTCCAATTTCCTTTTAAATAAACTTTTCTTTAAAAATAAAAAAAATTAAAAAAGGTAGAAAGCATATATCGCAGGGCACGGTGGCTCAAGCCCGGAATCCTAGCACTTAGGGAGGCCAAGGTGAAAGAATTGCCTGAGCTCAGCAGATTGAGAGCAACCTGGGCAATTTGGTGAGACCTCATCTCCACAATATATAAAAAAATTAGCTGGGCTTGGTAGCGCATGTCTGTAGTTCCACCTACTTGGAAGGCTTAGGTGGAAGAATCTCCTGAGCCCAGCAGATCAAGGCGGTGGTGGCCATGAGTGTGCCACTGCACTCTAGCCTGGGCAACAAAGTGAGACTCCGACTCAAAAAAAGGATATAGCAAGCAAGTGCTAACAAAAGAAAAACCAACTAAAATTAAGAAAAAAGGAAAAATAGACATAAAAAGGAATAATGTATCATAGAAGAACACACATGTACCCAAAAACAGTCTCAAAATATGAAATGCAAAGAAATACAGAATTCCACTCCAAGATGATATAAAATAAGTGTATGAAAATTAATTTTTCCTTTTTTTTTCTTATTGAGTCAGTCTCACTCTGTTGCCTAAATTGGAGTGCAGTGGCACGTTCATGGCCACTGCAGCTTTCAATTGCTGGGCTTAGCTGATCCCTCTGTCTCAGCCTTTCAAGTAACTGGACCCATAGGCATGCACCACCATGTTCGACTAATCTTTTGATTTATTTCAGAGATGAGGTCTCGTCAAGTTGCCCAGGTTGGTCTCAAACCTGTGGGCTCAGGCAATTCTCTTGCCTCCACCTCCCAAAATGCTAGGATTACAGACGTGAGCCACCATGCTCACGGAAGAGATAACGCTGCCCTTATTTTCTTTCTTTCTTTCTTTCTTTTTTTTTTTTTTGAGTTGAAGTCTCACTCTGTCGCCCAGACTGGAGTGCAGTGGCTGTTCCGGGTCACTGCAGCCTCGACCTGCTGGGCTCCGGCGATCCTTCCACCTCAGCCTTCCGAGTAGCCGGAATTACGGGCGCGCGCTACCACGCCCGGCTGATTTTTTGATTTATTGTAGAGATGAGGTCTCGCTGCCCAGGCGGGTCTCGAACCCGCGGGCTCAGGCAATCCCCTCACCTCAGCCTCCCAAAAGCGCGGGATTACAGGCTGAGCCACCGAGCCCGGCTCCTTACTTATTTTCATGGAAAACTCAAGAGAACCCACAAACTTACAGTTTAGCAAGATTGCTGGAAACAAGATCAAGAAAATTAGATCAATAGCATTCCCCATATACCAGGCAATTGATTAGTAAATGTATTTAAAAAATTTGGCCAGACACAGTGGCTAACTCCTATAATCCCAGCACTGGGAGGCCGAGGTGAGTGGATTGCTAAGCCCATGGGTTTGAGACCAGCCTGGGCAACTTGGCAAGACCTCACCTCTACAATAAACAAAAAAAGAAAAAAAAAATTAGCTGGGCATGGTGGCATGTGCTTGTAGTTCCAGCTACTTGGAAGGCTGAGGCAGAAGAATCACCGGAGCCCAGCAGGTGCAGGGTGTGGTAGCCAAGAGCGTCCCACTGCCCTCCAGCATGACTGACAGAGTGAGACTCCAGCTAAAAATAAATAAATAAAAATAAAATAAAAATATTAATTGGTTGGGTGTGGAGGCTCAAGCCTGTAATTCCAGCACTTTGGGAGGCGGAGGAGAGAAAATTGCCTGAGCCCAGGGTTCAAGACCAGTCTAGGCGAGTTGGCGAGACCTCATCTCTACAATAAATCAAAAAATTAGCCGGGCGTGGTAGCATGCACCTGTAGTTCCAGCTACTTGGAAGGCTGAGGCAGAAGGATTGCCTGAGCCCAGCAGGTGGAGGCAGCAGTGGCTGTGAGCTTGCCACTGCACTCCAGCCCGGGTGACAGTGAGACTCTGACTCAAATAAATAAATAAAATAAATTAATCAATTTATAAGAGCAATTTAACAATAGCAATCTAAGAATACGATCACATGTAGCTTAATGATAGGCATGTGTTCTGAAAAATGTGTCATTAGGAGATTTTGTCATGCAAACATCAGAGTATGAGATTATATGTATAGCCTACTACCCACCTAAGCTATATGGTACACTATTGCTCCTAGGCTATAAACCTGCACAGCATGTTACAGTACTGAATACAATAGGCAATTGTAACACAATAAGTATTCCTGCATCTAAGCATAACTAAACATGGCAGCACTGTGCTAAGACATGATGGTAGTTACAATATCATTAGGCAATAGGAACTTTTCAGCTCCATTATATTATGGGACCACCATTGCATATGTGGTCCATTGTGGACCAAAACAGCGCACAACTGTAAAGTAAAAGGATAAGCAGGATCTTTATGAAGCAAGTACACTTGTGAAAGACAGAAGAAAACACTGAACAAATGGCAGGATGTTACATAACGTTCAAGGTTGAAAGGGCTCAATATCATGAAGATGGCACTTCTTAAATTACGCTATAAAAAAAAATTTTTAGCCGGGCTCAGTTGCTCAGCCTGTAATCCCGAGCCTTTGGGAGGCTGAGGTGAGTGGACTGCCTGAGTCCGCGGGTTCAGGACCCGCCTGGGCAGCGAGACCTCATCTCTACAATAAATCAAAAAATCAGCCGGGTGTGGTAGCACATGCCTGTAATTCCGGCTACTCGGAAGGCTGAGGCGGCAAGATCGCAGGAGCCCTGCAGGTAGAGGCTGCCGTGGCCGGGAGTGGCCACTGCACTCCAGTCTGGGTGACAGAGTGAGAC